TTTCCCTGAGAGGATCACTTTAGCTTTACAGAGGAAAATCTGAAAAAACTCATCCCAAAGAGCTAACCAACCTGAAACCCACCCTTCCCTGTGCCTTGTGTTTTGGATGATGGTTTTTTTAGCATAGTGGTGGATGCTAAATTTTACTCTTCTTGTACTGCCATTTGCTCATCTTTGGACTGTTGCATGCATTTGGTTAATAGGGATATTTTAAAAATCAATTAATTAGGAACTTTAAATGTGCTCCTAACACTTACATAAATTTATGTCATAATTCTACTCCATCTCCAACATCCTCTTTTTGTGTCACCTTTTGTGTCACCTTTTGTGTCACCTCAAAAGCCCCTACAAGTAATTAAAGGCATCTTACGCACAGTTCACATGAGGACAAGTCCTTTTCTTTCCTCCTCGTGAATCCTTGATTGCACTGTAACTAATGCTGCATAGTTTTCTATAAACTCTGTGCACAGGCACAAGACTTGGGTAGGGCCAGAGCTTGTTTTCTCACAAAAGCTGTGGGTTTATTAGTTGATACAAGCCAGATTAAAGTAGGGGTTAGTCTGTCCACAGATATGTCAATTAAAACAACATCTTGAGTACAATTTGTTGTTAAACTGGTACATATCTTGACTGAACTGGCCTCCAGCTTTGGCTTTGCAAACAGAATGTTTATGCAAAGGGAGGGCTCTTTGAAAAGCCATGCACACAAGCTTGTCCATCCATATACAAACTTAGATGGAATGAAATTTATTTTTATCCAAGAAGATGGAGCTGTTCTGTGAGTGCACAGCAACACGGTTCCAGCTGTATCAGGCACATGTGCAGATGGTATTAATGGGGTGCCACTCTCCCCCTGTTTCCATTGAAAATGCACCATTAGAATGTATACCTAATAAATTTACTGACGTTTGCCACCACAGGGAAAACATAAATAGCATAAAATTTTTATCCTTTAATTAAAAAACACAGGCTGTTGTTAAAAATCTCACAGACTATGTCTGCAACTCGTGAATTGAGCTATTGCGAAGGCAACCTTTGTTTTGGCAGTGGCCTTTTCTCTGCCTAAACAGTACAAAAGATTGAAAGTATATGGTCATAGAAAACAGTGTCAGTAAAATGATGTTTCTTTATTACCCATATTCTCTTCTAAAACAGAATAAAAAGTACTAACAAACCCCAAGCTGCCCAGCCCCTGGTGACCTAGTACACCATCCCTATATCCTGCAAAGGTCGCCCCCAGAAACTTTCTTTCAAAGACAGAGTTCTGCTTTAGATTAGACTGCCTAGTCCTGGAGCTCACACAACAGCCCTATTGAAAACAATTAAGTAACTTAGAAGCAACCGTGACCTTATCCAGACAAATACCTTCCCATTATTAGGACAAAAGAGACAGTATGTTATTTTACTTTCTCTAATATTATCTGCTATAGTGGCATTTTTTAATTATGGGAAATCATCTAAAAAATAACATGTTGTCTAGCAACAAAGAAAACAGACACAAACAAAGGAGAAACAGAGTGACAATTCTGCTTTTTATACTTATATTTCTACTTTCAGGTAAGCCCAGTAAAACTAAAACAACAAACAGTTTAAATGAACTGGCTAATCAACTTCACAACAGTGAATTGATACTGGGACTCTGGATCAGTCCAAATGTTGGATTCAATTCAATTTCAAAAGCATCTGAGATTCATTAAGTTATTCTAAGGATATTTGACTTTATAATTCAATCTTTTAAATTTAATCATGAACTTACAGAACTTACCTCCATTATTTTCCCCTTCAACCAATTCTTGTTCTTGAATGAAAAGGCTTAAACTTTTCAATTTTATTGAAGCTGCACAATGAAAAATGATCAATTAAGAATCTGGGATATCCTGATGAGTTATGTGGTTTTATGCAAAACTTACTATTTGTATAGCAATATTTATTTATATCATGATAATACACTACATGGCACCATCAAACAATTACTAACAATGTTGATATAAACAAGTTTTGGATTTAACTTTGCAAGATAGAAATAGGAAAAAACAATAATAAAAGAGAGGGAAAAAAAGTGGTAAGGTACGTTAATCACCCTGATTTGTTATTTTTGGCAGCAGAATCTCGAAATTTCTGTCATGGGCCTAGTCTTAGGAATACATTATGCTTAAAGAATTTAATTATATAGAATAAAACCATATTTTCACTATGACTTCATTTTCACCTGTATTTTTTTGATCCATATACTCATCAACAGCATATAGACCTGGTGAAAATGTGTCAAGAAAGCTGCAAAGACCTAACTAGAGATTCAGAGAATTAAAAACTCTTCAAAATTTTGAAATAAACTCTCATTGACCATGACTTCTTTGAAATACCTTGTCAATCAAGGTGTTCTTAGAAGCTGCATAATCACCGTATTAAGAGAATCAAAATTAGCAAGTTGTACCCAGCCAATTAAAAATGTTACTGATGCCTTATCTAAAACAGCAATGACAGATGTCTACAAATCTTGTAGTTATGGAATCAACAGTAAATAGAAGGACTTTGAATGAGAAATATATTTGAGTTATGAAAGTGATTGAATTGCAAAAAGGCCATGTCAGAATGAACAGAGGTATTCGTTGTATCATTGGTACTGGAAGTGTGGGATTTGCAACACCCGTGCAACATGCAACACCCATGATTATTGTAGTGTGTATGTCTCAAGATTCCTGATGTGCCTATTCCGCAACTGCTAGGACAGTTGCTGAAAGCAGTATTTTTCAGAGTGTTGCAGCAGAACTGTGAAATGGGGGTCAAAGGAAGGATGAAAAAATGCAGCAGCAACATTAGTATCTTTCTCTTCTGAAGCAAGCAACACAGTGTGTTCTGGTACATCATGATCAAAGACACTGTTCACATTGCTTTTCAGCTATATTATTTACGTGTTCCAATGTAACTCATGCACCATTTTCAGATAAGCAACCCAAACAGGTCCCTAAATGCTGAGGCCTCATATCTATCTTTACTGAGTTTAGCAACTATTTAAGCAATAATTTAGAACTTTTTATCTGAAAGCTAAATAAGAATTATTGCAAAGAAAAGTCTACTGGCTTGAAAATAAAAATTAGAGGAGGTACAGATTACTTCATGGTGCTGTAACCTGTATTTCTAAAGTAAAATTCAATGTTGCCTTTGCCATACCAAAAAAATGAGGTTTTGACAAAAGCAAGCCCAAATAAGAGGTATCTCAGTCTGTCTGTATGCATCCTGAGAAGATAACAAAGCAAGGAGTAAGGAGTAGCAGCCCTTGAGAAATTGTCAAGAATAATTTTCCTACCTAATTTCCTTCATAACAAAGTAATGGGCCCTGCAGACTGGAGACAGAGTCAATGAAGCAGAAAATAAATTCATCAGAAGAACATAGCAGAAGAAGAATAACGAGGTTGAGTCACACTAAAGAGTCCATTTAGCCCAGTATCCTGTCTGACATGGCCATAGTAGTTGTTTATGGAAGAATATAAAACCAGGGCAAATGCATCGTGATGTGTCCTCAGTACGGCCTTATGTTGGGTTTGCATGGAAAGGTTTTGTTAGTGGGGGTCTACAGGGGTGGCTTCTGTGAGGAGGTGCCAGAAGCTTTCCCCATGTCCAGCAAAGCCAATGCCAGCTGGCTCCAGGACGGACCTGCTGCTGGCCAAGGCTGAGGCCATCAGCGACGGTGGTAGCACCTCTGAGGTAACAGACTTGTAACAGAATGGAAAAAAAACATCAGACTTTAACTCTCAGACATTATCATACTGACGATAGTAGCTGACTCTTTGCTGTTCAGAGTAGAGTAAACAAACTAGGATGGCACCTATCACCACATATATACAGTATTATGGAACTCAGCAATGGCTAAGTTATCTATGTAGTGTTATTACAAGCTTACATGTATTCAGAAACGATCCAGAAAATAAGCCATAAAAATAACTTTGTCAGCAGAAAAATAAAATGTATTGTCCACAGGCAATCCAGTGGAGAAAAATGTCCCAGTGACATTATTCAAATAGATTTTGAAAAAAAATTAAATGGAAATCTAGCAGGCTGACTATGCCTAAAGTCCCCAGAGAACAGATTAGCCCTACAAGTCAGACTCCATGCAATCCTGAGTTTTAGGACCATGTCAGAAGAAGACACAATTTCTTGGTCTCAGTGGTAGTCATTTTAGGAGTGGGAAAGAATATGAGTAGAAAATGTGCAAAAGTATTTTTTTACAAGTTGCTCCAGGGAACATAAGAAACCAAAAAATGTTTCATGCTTTACTAGAGTATGTTCACTGCACAAGAGAGGTCCTTTTATTATGGCACATTGTTTATCATCTCTATATTAAATGAGAAAGCTAAGGGTTTAATTTTTTTTCTTCAGTCATTTAATCCTAGAACAACACAAGTCTTTAAGCCAGTCTTATTCTCTCCCTCCTGAAGAGCGGCCTCATGGCTCCTGCTGAGAGCTGTTAGATTTCATAGCTGATTCAGAGCCCACCACTGCTCCTGCCCACTGTGATGCAGAACTTGCTGTTGTAAATGGATTCAGCAGTGCAAAGATCATGGGAAGCTTATTCCTTTATTTTTAATTTCCCCCCTAAGGGCAATTTGTTCCAATTAGTGCAATTGTTGCTGCACAGTGCTCTGACTTATTACTGTTTGAATTGGCTGACTCAAAATCAGAGAATCTCACATATGACGTAATATATGCCCTGGCCTAGTGCCCTTGCAACAAAGAAGATCCCTTGTCAGGGATTGTGGCCATGATCTCTGGAAAAGGTCTTTTCTCCCCATTAGACTTGGTTCTCTCTTCCATGGTATATTGGAATAATTTCAAACAATACCTTTCCTTTGCTGTAAGGGTATCCGTACCTAATGTATATGAACAAAACAACATGAACAGATTTGCATGAATGGTTTGTTTTGTTGTTATTGCTTTGTCTGGTCTGGGTGTTGACTATTCCTTACAGATGGGTCTCTCACCAGCTCTAGTAGCCGGCACTCCTGGAGGGAGCATCACACCACATGGCACAGAGGTATGAGAGTCTCCCTCACAGCATGTACCAGCTCCATTTGTTTTGTTCTGTTTTCCTGTGAGGACAAACCAAACCCAGAGAGTTATGGAATAGTTGGTTTTGTCACATATTCAAAAATCAAGAAACAAGAGTACACACAGTGAACTATTTCACCCCAAAAGCTTCATCTGAATATGAAATTTTAATGATGTAATGTAGAAAGAATCTTGCCAGAACTTTGACATGTTTCATGTTTCTGACATTGAACAGTTTATTTAAAGGAAGAGGCAATGTGATGGTGGGAGAGCTAATCATGGTTGGTAATCTATTTTCCATACAAGTGACCATGAAAATATAGATGACATAAATTCAACTGCTCTTTTTCTGTTATTGTCTGAAACTGCACAACATGGCCAAATTTAATTTCCCAAACATACATTTGCCTATAATTTCTTTAGCAAAAAAGATCGTACAAAACATCTTCAAATATTACCAAGCAATACCTTAATCTGAATTACAGTGTATTCATGTTCCTACCATCCTCAAAAATACTTACTGAGAAAAGTTATGAACAAAACAGAGCTGACCAAATCTTAAACTTTCTTTTATAAAGAGGTAATCAATGTTCCCTTAATGTTCTAAACAACCCTTCTTTTTTAGGGAGTCCATACTCGGATTAATTATTTATTTATTTCCTCTCTTGTGAAATTATTGGCTCTTACTGGAGTGAGCTGCTGGCAAGCATGCACCTACTCCTTACAGGAATATTAGGAAACAAGTCTACAAATGCAGAGTACATGCCAGAACTCTCTTATGTCAATGGTGAAACTACCATTAAATTCAATGGGCTTTGAAACAATTAATCCAAAGAATAAGGTACACTAGGATAGATTTGGATCTGGATTCCTCAGTGTGTGTTTTGAATGGAAACACCAAAGGCTTCAATTATATAAATGGCTTCCATCCACATAAAATTCAACAGCAACAGAGGGTTTCTGTTTTCAGGAGACAAGAGAGTCCTAAAGCTTCAGTTTTATTCTGACATGATCACAAGTGATCATCTAACATACAGAGGATATGGCAAGTTTCATGGAATTCCTAATAATTGCTATGTTATATGGGATAAGACTGTCTCATCCTGTGTTCTCTCCATGATTTTATCTGGATCTATGTCTTCTAAGACTTTATGATGCCTACAGCCATAGTTAAAGCAGCACATTTCCTAATTAGGTATCACTTCACTCTCCCACTCTCAGATAATAGCTGGCAAGTGGTTAACAGGCTGCACAGGAGAGATACAGAGTCTTCAGGAGGGACAGGCAGGGCAGAAGGGGTGGAAGGGTGGCACTGTGCATACTAGAAGCATTAGAATGTATGGAGCTCCCAGTTGGCAATGGCAGAGTTGAGAGACTCAGGGTAAGAATCAAGGGGCAAACAAATAATGGAGATGTCATCATGAGAGTCTGCTACAGACCTCCTGGACAGGACAATGATGGCCACAAATTATTCTTTGAGGAACTAAGGGACATTTCCAAATCAACTGCCCTTGTCCTTGTGAAGGACTTCAACTTGCCAGAAATTAACTGGAAGCATCACACTTCCAGCTGATACAAACCGGGTCAGAAGATTCCTAAAAAAACTGGATGAAAACTTTACAGAACAGGTCCTAAGAGAGCCAACTCAGAAAGATGCCCTCTTTGATCTGCTGCTTGTCAGTGGAGTGGGTCTTGTGAGTGAAGTGGCTGTCTGGCTGTCTTGGCCACAGGGACCATGAGGTGATTGAGTTTAAAATCTCTGTTGACAGGAGGAAAAGTGCCAGCTCTGGACATGAGGAGATCAGACTTCAGGCTGCTCAGGAAGTAAGTAGGTAATGTCCCCTGGGAAAATGTTTTTGCAGGTGCTGGGGTCCATCAGTGCTGGCCATTTTTAAACATCACTTCCAAAAGGCACAGGAGCAGGCAATTCCCAAATACTGGAAATCAGGTGGACAAGGCAGAAGGTCAGCTTGGCTGAGCAGGGATACTCTCTTGGAAATAAGGCAAAAAAAGAAGGTGTATGCCCAGAGGAAGCAAAGTCAAGTGACATGGGAAGAATTAAGAGATGCTGCTTGCCGCTGTAGGGAGAAAATTCGTGAGGTCAAAGCTCAGCTGGATTCAAAGCTGGCCAGAAATATGGGGGACAATAAAAAGGGTTTTTTCAAATACATTAATGGCAACAGGCACTATAGAAATACCAATGACCCATTAGAGGATGAGGATGGTCACCTCACAAACAGGGACAGAGACAAGGCAGAGGTGTTTAATGCTTTCTTTGCCTCTGTCTTCAACATGGATGACAGACCAAGGAGGTCTCAGTGCCCTCAGTTGGAAGACAATGACTGGGAGAATGATCGACTCCCAGTCAACCCTGAAATTGTGCAGGATCTGCTGCTCCAGCTGGATCCCTACAAATCTATGGGGCCTGATGGGATTCATCTCAGAATCCTAAAAGAGGTACCTGATGTCATTGTAAAATCTCTCTCGATTTTTGAGCAGTCTCTGGAATCCGGAGAGGTCCCAGCTGACTGGAATCTGGTAAATGTTGTCTGAATTTTCAAGAAGGGCAAGAAGGAGCATGCCAGAAACTAGAGGCCTGTCAGTTTCACTTCAGTGCCTGGAAAAGTTATGGATAAGATTATTCTGGGAAGTATTGAAAAACACCTGAAAGGCAACTCAGTCATTGGTCACAGCCAGCATGGTTTCATGGGAGGAAAGTCCTGCTTATCCAACCTGATTTCCTTTTATGACAAGGTAACCCACTAGCTGATCAAGGAAGCCAGCTGATGTTATCTTTTTGGATTTCAGTGAAGCTTTCAATACTGTCTCTCACAGGATCCTTCTGGACAAAATGTCCAGCACACAGCTGGATAAACACACCATGTGGTGGGTGAGCAATTGGCTCAGGGGTCAAGCACAGATGGTAATAGTGAATGGGGTGGCATCAGACTGGTGACCTGTCACTAGAGGGGTTCCGCAGGGCTCCATGTTAGGCCCTGTGCTCTTCAACATCTTCATAAATGACTTGGATGCAGGACTGGGATACTAAGCAAGTTTGAAGATGTCACAAAACTGAGTGGAGTTGTTGACTCCCTCAGAGGCAGGGAGGCCCTGCAGAGAGACCTTGACAAATCAGAGGACTGGGCAATCACCAATTAGATGAAATTCAACAAGAAAAAGTGCCAGATTCTGCACCTGGGATGGGGCAACTCTGGATATTTGTACAGGCTGGGGAATGAGATGCTGGAAAGCAGTGCCATGGAAAGGGACCTGGGGATCCTGGTCATCAGCAAATTGAACATGAGTCAGCAGTGCCTTGGCAGCCAGGAGGGCCAACTGTGTCCGGAGGGGCATCAGGCAAAGCATCACCAGATGGTTGAGGGAGGGGATTGTCCCACTCTGCTCTGCACTGATGTGGCCTCACCTTGAATATTGTGTGCAGTTTTGGGCACTACAATATAAGAAAGATATTGAATTTTTAGAGAGCTTCCAAAGGAGGGACAAGATTTTTAATTAATGTTTTCTACATGTATTTCATGTGCTTGCATTTGGATGAAATTTTTTATACATCACTAGAATTTTAGACAGATGGGTAAATTCCACAGCAGTATTTAACTAGGAAGATGATGAATCCCATTGGCAGTTCTATTCACTGCACATAAAGAATGAATAGTATATACAATAATATTTATCAAGTACCAAAGAACTTTAAATTCAGCTAATAAATACTGTTCTTTATTTTTAACATGTGTGTGTGCTAAAGCAAGAATTATATGCTCTATTGGAATCTCATTTACCTTTCTAGAGAGTTTATAGACCCAAACCTATAATTAGTAGAGTATCTGTAGTTCACAACTTTATTTAGAAGTGCATGTTTGGGAGATCTATTGAATATAATCCAATTTTCAAATACAATAGGGCAACTGGAATTTTTCATTTGGCTTCCTGTCTCTTTTCACCTCAAATTACATGTGATGATTTTCTTTTGATTAAAGCCTTATGGACCGTGCAAGGGTTTCCATATTGCAGGTATGTCACTCTCTTCAGTGAGACTATTTGTGGACTAATACAGTTCATGTGATATGTACACACAGGATGACATGACCCTCTATTCATTTAGAAAAATGAAACAATCAAATGGATAATCAGAATTTAATAAAAACCCTCCTCAACATTTTCCTTCTAGCAAGAAATTATGGAGTTTGATATGCAGTTTTCTGATCCCAGGGGATGCAGCAACTAAACTATCTAAAAAGAAATTACATTGTTATAGCACAGTTTGTTTGTTGTGGCAAGTGAGCAGATGTTAGTCAACTACCAGAATAATAAGGTTTTGATATAATTATCTGATCTAGAACTGCAATAGGCATAAGGAGTGCTGTAAAGCTGGTTTACTGCAGATTCAGTCCAGGTATTCATTGAGAAGTCTGATTTTAGTGATCTGGAGCTCTAGCCATTCATTGCTCACTGTGCATTTGTAATTATTTAGGTTTATGTGACTGATGTTAGGAGTGACCGTATATATTTTAGCATTTAATATCATCTCCCATACTGAAAATATTTCATAGCAAATGTATTAATGTTAACCTCATAGGACTCTGGTGGCTTAGCTTCTAAAGAGTACACTTCTTTGGAGTGTATTACCTGAATTTCTTTTAAGTGATACTTTTGTTTTACTTTGAAGTCACTTTAGGCTTCTTATTAAAGAGAAACTTGTAAGTTAATAAGAGATTTTTCACACCCCAAAGAGGCTGATACTAATGACTAGCCAGAATTCAAAGCCTGATCCCTAGCCTGCCCCTGAGCAGAGAAATGTGGTATGTGTGGTCTGAGTAAATTCTTCTTATGGTTTTCTAAAGCAGACTTTTCCTGACTAATACCTAAGACCTTAGACCTTTCCTGACATAAGACCTTAAACCATCTCACAAGTATTAACTCTTTTTAACAAGCAGTTTCCAACCCAGGGCAGACCACTTTAGGGTTTTTTATCACTTTGAGTGAAATCATCTACTGGTGGTCTGCTGAGGAGATGATGTCTCTGAGGAGATTAGCTGCTCTCTGATGCCGTAAACTGATGGTGTTGGGGGGGACAAAGTAAAGCTACTCAGGTTGATGGCATGATAAACTGTGCCAGGCACAGCTGCTGAGAACTGATGTCACCTTTAAAGAGAGGTCCTGCTTCTAACTGCTGGGAACAGGCAATTCTGTAAGAGGTAGGCAAATTACAGGGGGGCATCCTTGCTTTCTTGATTCTCTTAGACAGGTGATAAGAGTTTCTAGCCTCAAAGGTGAGTTCCTAAATCAGGACTCTCTGCTTAGATTAGAGGAAACCTAAAAATAGGGCTTCAGCGTGGCTAATGAAAATGCTAAAAGGTTGAGTTATCTACACTGTTCCTGTCATTGCATCATGTCTCCTGAAATGGGAAGCATATTTTCAGCATCTGCTAAGTCAAATCTTGAACAAAGTAAAGAAGACATTATTGAAGACATAATTTGTTCAGCCAACATCACAGGCATGTTTGGTGACAGTACACTGAGATCAGGGAACTGAGGTCTCGAGGATTTTTCTGATTCATAGTGGGAAACATTCAGCTAGTCTTATCATGCAGGGATCAAAATTAGCTCTTGGTTCTCTGATGGTTAATTAAATAAATGGCATGAATGCACAAGACTCCCAAAATACATTGGTACATCAGTACCACATTGTACATCAGTAATTCCTGCAGTTGCGGTGTTTGTACAGGGCATTTTGAAAATAAACAAAGGTCAGAGAATATTCAGGGCAGATACTATTCCCAAAGTTAGAGTTAAAGTCTCTTGCAAATTCTCAGGAGATACAACTTTTTTTTTTCTCCATTAATAAGCAGATTCATTGCTTATAGTGGAAGTTTGACCCTGACTAGCAGAAGGAGATGCAAATACAAAATAGTCCTTAATCTCTTTGGTTTCTTAGCAGTAAGGCTCTTCTGATCACCTGGCTGAAAGTGGGAGAAGGATCTCACATACAAAAATCAGAATTAGACCATACTTCCTAGGACAAGATTAACATAGAAAGAGATAGAAGCAAACTTTACCCAAAAGGTGTTTGGTACTACTCTGAAGAAGTAATACACCTTGAAGTAGCTCCCTATTATTCTTCATTAACTTTCTCAAAGTTGAAACATTGGCTAAATTTAAAAAATTACCCCAAATTATGCATATAATTTTCTTCCAAAGGAGTAGTGCTGTTCAAAATCAAGAAGCCTGGTACTACTATTCACGAAAAAACACCCAGACACAAAACCCCCAACCATATCCCTTTTGGAGCATGGGTTCCCAAGGACTGTCAGATAACATATATCACACAGCCCTCTGGGCTCATTTGTTTACTTAATTGGGTAGTTTGTTTTACAGCCAGGCAGCAAAAACACTAAATAAAGAGCAACTTAAGCAGTCAGTTATATACAACATTAAAATCAAACAGATGTATACAAAATAGAGAACTTAAAAATACATAATCATCTTTACCAAACACAACAAATAGCTGGCGATACAATCCAGGCTACAATTATCTCAGTTAAATTATATATTATAGCAGCATCAGATCCCTTTAAACTAATTATAAAGGTGATGATATAATGTGCTTGTGACGCTACTGTCACTGAAGATTGCTCTTGCAATAACACAGTTCTTACTATTGATCCTCCTTCATTTTATAAATGTGAAGTAGGCAGGAGTAAATAGCTTTGCTAAATAATACAGAGCTTGTGAAAAAAATTGGGTTACTTATGTCATCATAATAACAAGTAAAGGTTATTATGAAAATAGGCTTAATCTAGGCTTAATGCCTAGATGCTTCCGTCATGAGAATCATATTCTGTTTAAATGAGAGAAATATTACCTATCCTCTTTCTTCTATAACATATACCGTAATCTAAAAGGGTTTGGTTTGTCAGTGTGATCACAAGACAAAAATACTTGATGAAGAAATAAAAAACCATACCTCTGAATAAGGGTAGATGTCTAAAAAGGGGAATGCATTTAAGAGTTCCATATCCTTTAGACTATGGACATGCTTCCTTAGTTTTATGACAGTGACTGCTTTGTCACTGCACAACAACTCCTATGAAGGTAAACAGAATTTCCTTGATTTGTATAGCACCAAGGTAGTTTGCCTGGACTGTAAAAATGCACAAATCTAAGTACATTTAAGATGTTTGCCTACTTAAAACATATGAGCATGTGTTCAGAAGGCATAAACCATGCTAAAGCTGGTTACACTTGTATCAGTACATAACCATATTAATCTAAAGGAAGTTTGGATTTGGTTGGATTGTCATATCCACTGCAGTACATGAAAAAGTGAGAAAATTACCTTCCTTCCCCAAAGTGACACCTAACTGCATGTGTATTCCTAGTAGAGAGAAAATCACTAATGATTCACTTAAACAAATGCATTTTGCTTTGAATTGAAATGGATCAGGAATACATGGTTTCAACCCTTCTCATATTGACATGCCGTAAAAAATAACCCCCTATAAACCATGTTAAACAATTACAATCTTTTCAGGAATTCAGCAGTGTTTTGTCATTTGGAAACATGTCTTAAGATGCAAAGCTGCCACCCAGGTAAGTCTGAGCCAGCTCACATCTAAGTTTTGTTTTCATGCTCTAAATACAGGGTGAGGTCAGATTTCCCACCGGGATATGAAGTTTCCCAAATACAAGGCTGACCATGTATGCCATCAACATTTAGACCCACAGGACCATTTAACCTACAATCATGGACCAAGAATATTTCAAGAGGAGGTAAACTGAATATCCCTACAAGTTGCTGACAGTTCAGAGGAAATCCAGATGCATTTGCATGGAATAAACTTCTGTAAACATGTTCTGCACTACAGCAAAGAAATAAATGTCAAGGTAAGCTTGGCAAGCTACAAAAAAGGATGAGTCATATTTCTCCAGTTTGATTCCAAAGATGCTATCTTTCACCTTCCTTGGTACTGTAATCACAAGACTGACAATGTTGCTGCTCTTTTATGGGAAGCAGTATTCAAACACTGTGGGTAAATGATTTAGCAAAGCCTTACAGTAATTTTTCACACATACTTTGTTTTTATTATGAAAATCTGTAAGGAATAAGTTTCCATATACAGCAAGCAATGTGCAATTGTCTATCTAAAATGTCTGTAAGTCACTCCCCTGTCACACTTTCAGCTGATATTTTAGGATATAGGATGAAGTAATTTGATAACATAACAGGCTTCCAGGTAAGCAATTACTGGAAAATCTTATGTCTATTTTGCAAAAGAAGAAATGGAGGCAGCATTAATGAGATCACATTTCCAAGCAATCATTAGCTTTGAGATGTTTAACTTCTGAGTAACCAAACTAACACATCTTGGAAACTCATTTTTAAGACTGCTATGTGCTTCTTGTTTTAATTAAAGTTAACAGGATCTGTATGCACCTAGCAGGTCTGAAATTCAGGCAAACTACTCAGAAATCAAGGAATTGATTTCTGGAATGAAAGGCCACTTTTCAGAAGATTTGCAGAAGATTACATCTGATGTCTGGGACACAGCCCAGGACTAAACTCAGTCCTTTAGCTCTCACTCCAGAGAATCAACAGAGTAATTATCATTCCTGCTAATGCTACTGAGTAGTATTAGCATTTTCCTAAAAGAAGCATAGAAAGTACTTATGTCCAGATCATCCCTATCCTCTACTATTTGCTAATCTGACTGCACCTCATTAGTACTTTTTCCTCTGGAATGATTATTATTCTCACTTTACTGAGCAGAAGTCAGTCTGTGATATAAGAATTGTGATATTAAATGGAGAACCCACCAGTCTATAAAAGCTTTTCAGCTGAGTTTGTCAGTTGTTTATGCTAATTAGATATCTCAGGTGAAATTTTATGTGTGATGAATTCCTTTCCTCTTATGACTTACAGTGATGCCATTTCTGTTTTCAATTCTGTTTTTTAACTGAAATACATAGGCAAGTTTATTGTTCAGAAAAGCAATTCAGTTTGAATCTTTATATGCCTAATGTCTCAGGATAGTGACTTTTTTGTACTACTCAGGTAAGGGTTTTTAGATCAAGAGATTCCAGATTGTTGCTCCTTAAGAATTACACTTATTCTTAGCCCTATTCTCCTGCCATTACTCTTGCAAATACTAATCCTTGAAAACGCAGCAGAAATGTTTTAATGACATGGTGTTATTCTGCATGATTAGTGTTGCAAAATACACTAGATTCTTTTTGTGTGTGTGTGTATTGCGTCTGGCTGAGCCCTCACAGTGCTGTGCATTGCACTGGTAGTTACAAGGGGGTTGATAACACACCAGTGTTTTTTCTGCTGCTGAGCAGCACTGGCACAGCATCAGCACTGTCTCTCAGCATTCCTTCCTCCACCCCCAGCTGAGGGAAAGATCCTGAGAGGGGACACAACCAGGCCAGCGGACCCAAATTAACCCAAGGGATATTCCATACCATATGATGTCAGCTCAGATAGAAGAGGTAAGGGAAGGAGGAGGAAGGGAGGGCATTTGTTTATGTTTGCCTTCTGAGAACCACTTACATATGCTGAAGCCCTGATGCCTGGGAAGTGGCCAGACATCACTTGCTAATGGGAAGTAGAAAATAAACCTTGTTATTTTCCTCTTCACTTTTGCGCATGCAAACTCTCACTTTTGCTTTAGTAAGCTGCCTTATCTCAACCTATGAGTTGTTTTCCATCTTACTCTCTCTCCCCTGTCAGACCAGGAAGGGGAGTAATAGAGCAGCTTGGTGGGCCCCTGGCATCCAGCCAAGGTCAACCCACCACACTGTTGTAAATTTCTATCTTATCCAGATGATATGATCTAAACTATATCAGGATTATAAAAATTACTGTGGTCTGTTGAATCCACCTCTGGCTGGATATTTCTAAGCATGTCAACTTAAGACTACATGAGTATAAATAAAGCTTATAATTTCCAAAGGAGATGCAAGCTATGGTTTAACATGTTCTTGGTTATTGCTTATGTACATCAATTTGCATGCTGGTGCACTGACAAGACATTTAATTCCATGCAAATGAACAACACCAAACCTATTTTGAAAAAGTCAAGTCACTACATTTTTATTCAGTTCTGCCTATTGTTAAAACTAAGTGCAAGAAAGAGAAACATCCTGAAAAGCCATTTGGAAACCTTAAAGTAAACAATCTCCAAGGTAGAGATATAAACATTTCCAAGACATGCATCTTGGTGTTATTGCTTTAGAAATGTCCCAAAACTGTGTTTTTGTATTTGGGAGTGATTTCTGGTTCTTCTTGGTTATGAAGAAATCAAAAAAATTTCTTACAGCACTGGTCCTGGGAGCTTCATTTTTACCATTCCTAAGTAAGCAGAGATGGGCAAGTGAGAAACGCTAAAAGCCAGAGGTGTAATTTTGGTTCAGAGAAATTCTGATCTTATCTGCGTAGATTTATTTACCTTTGCTTTCTCCATACTTAGCAATGTGATTCCCTCAGCTATGTCTCTGCACACCTGTTGAAGTGACTGGAGTGACAAGACACCATGAAACTATGATAATAGCCAAATAAGATCTTCCCTTACATCTTCTGTTCCCCACCACCTTTTCTCCCAGCCCACCTCTCATATATCTTCTCCTTTGCATTTTCATATGTGGGTTTCTATCAGTTTCCTGCTTCTTACCAGTCTCTCTCATAGTATCTTCATTTTTGTTTTTTAAACATTGGAAGAAACAGGTAAGTGAATTAGACCTGTCAAATCCAAGCATATTGCATACTCATGCCCTGTAACCATGAGACGTTTACTGTGCCTTCCCTCCGTACCTTTTCTCCAGATACTCAGTCTCAGATCAGACTTTTTGTGTGGAACTCATTTCTCCTGACTTCAGACACGAACCCCTGAGCCAGTCTCCCATGGTTCTGCCTTTTGGCAGAACGAAATACGTGCTTGGAGACATGATTTACCTCCTCATGCTCTTCAGATAAAACTACTTGAAACTTGTAAGACCTTTTTTCTCTCCACTGACTAGAAGGGGAGCCCAGATAACCAGCTCAACAGCTCATAGTTCAATCTGAGATACTCACATTTGGCCAGAAAGATCTTTAGTTGTCCTGCCCCGTGTAGATCGGTGGTAGGCAATGGGAGTTTGAAATAAGAAGACAGTGAAAACCACAATTCAGAAAAAAATCAAATTCTTTAGAGTTGAGAGTACCAACCAGCTATGTACTGTTGCATGGTTTTCATACAATTGACCTTTTTAAGTTGGCAACTTATATGTTATACATAACACAAAGCTAAAAACAAAATCCAAATCAACAAAAACTGTAATCCTCAAAATGACCTGGTAGAAAAAACGTTTACACTATGGGTTTGGCTTGATGCTTTAGATGTTACAGATGCCACTCTTCATCCAGTTTCTGAACACTAAAGATGGGATTTATGGCCCTACAAGCATGAAGGTGAGGAATCATAAGAAAAATAAGCACACTGATTCACATGAAAAGTATGTGCCAAATAAAACCATAAATAATTTTATGCAGCCTGTCATTCAAATATATTTGACTGTCATCCAAATTGTTGGAATTGTCCTTCACACAGAAAAAAGAAATCTGTTTATTTTTAGGATAATTGGGAGTGCAACAAATTATCTTCAAATTAATGAATAGGTCAAGTTGTTTTTATAAGCTTAATAATATTTTCCATTGTCCCTCCCTCCTTAACACCTATCTTCGTTGCCTAATCATTCACATACTTTATTTTTTTGTGTTTGGGTGAGTCATGAAGTGCACATTATGATGATAAATATATCCTCTCTGCTTCCTCTTAATGTGAACTCAGTGGTGTGATTCACCCCATAAACTTATTTTACTCATTCTATCCTTTACTCATCACCTCGACGCTGTTAACATAAACAGTACTGTTGAAATCACGTTTCTACTCAAAAGCTAACATAGAGGTTTTATCTGCTTTACATTCTATACATTCTGTTTGACACTTTTTTTTTCTATTACACCAGATATCCATGTGAAATCATAAATGTTATTTTAATGTAAGCTGAAGAAACTCACCTTAAATATGAAGGTGATATTACGCTATATGATACCATTTAACTGATTTGAGTCAAATTAAGAATCTCTTTCTTACTTTACAGCTTAGGTCACAATTTGAAGCTCAGCTGGGGCTGTTTTCCAGAGCTGTGTTAGAAAATCAATGCACCTCATGTGTGTACCCCAAACAGAATCACACCTGGGGCTTTCTTGACCCCAAAGCCTATACCTATATTCACACTATCCCTGAAACCTGGGTATGTACTTTGCTTCTCAAGTTTCATGTGAGTAACAAATGACTTTGTAATAGTGCTGAGACTGTAGTGGTCGATGATCCTGACTGAGAGCAATTACGTTGTGTGTCATTAAAGCAACATGTAGCTGAGCCATAATATTCTAAAGATAGTAATACATCATTATGTGTGTTTGTGACTGAATAGTAAGGGAACATAAGATCTTTCTTAAGAGGAAGTTAATGGAAAGTTAAATTAAAAGCAACATAGTTTAAGTTGTTTTCTATGCAATCCTTTCAGGGTGCTTCATCTTGTCATTAAAGCACTGATTGACAACGTTTGTGTGCTAGAGAAAGACAATGATTAGAAGTTGCTGGCTAATTATGAGGTGGACACAAAACAGTGAGATTATTTGGAAATGAACACAAAAGTGCGCACACACATGCTGTGGGAGTCTCTGATAGCAGAAAAATAACCTCTTTCAGCTTCCAGCCTTAGAAAGTACAAGCAAGAACAAAGACTGTTTCTTGTAGCTACAGGGATTTTTTTTTTTTTTTTTAAATACTGAAAAC